CAGGATGCTAATGGTTTCTCCATGTGAGGCATAGAGCTTGGTGGGGCAAGAGCGAGAGAATAAGACACTGGTCACATCATCAGCCCCTTGGAAGCGTGTGTGTCCCAATGGAGTCCCATCTTCACCCCAAGCCATGAGATCTCCACCCTCTGCTCCAGAAGCCACTAGCCCTTCTTGACTTGCATTCAGGCAGAGAATAGGAGAAGAATGTCCACCAGTCCACTTGAGAGCCATAATGGCCCAGAAGACTCTGTAAAGAGGGGGAAAAAACTATAATCTCATGTTTTACTTAAGAACTTGATGGTAGGAGATAAATGCAAAAAGTGCCATTTCATTTAAATATTTTAAAAAGACATCTAAAGAACTCAACAAAAAATACATTTTAAGATTAAGTCTACAAAAGCCTGGTGAACACAGGGCTGTGGCGCACCTGTCTGGAACGTGCCTAAACGGGCTTCCCCTGCAATGAGGGACCCAGGTTAAGCCTGGTTTTCCAGATTTTGATGTGAGGCGTACATAAGAATAAATACTAAATATTTTAAATTAGAAAATATTCTTTTCAAGAGAGGGCTGCACACCTTCAGATTATATCTTTTATCAGAGTAATGTTTTAGAGAGTGTGCTCTTGGAGCTGGACTCTCTAGGTTTGAATAGCTCTATTACCTATTAGCTGGGTGACTTTGGGTAAGTACTGAACCTCCTCTGATTCACCCTCCTTTTCTATAAAATGAGGGTAACAAGAATAACATCTATTTCATAGGATCAGAGAGGATTAAATGAGATTTATATATATATATATATATATATATATATATTATATGTATGTATGCCTGCCCATATAATAGTGCCTGGTACATAATGAGTGCTCAACAAATACTACCATTATCACTTTTCTTATTTTTATTAGGCTGGTCAAAGTGGCATAATATATATTACACCAATGGTCCACTTGTATTCCATTTTACAAAACTGAGTCTCAGAAATGTTAAATAATTTGCCCAAAGTCAGCTGGCCCTTAGGATTTATACATGGGATCCCAAACTTAAATCATGAAGACCTTTTTCTAACAATTTCTAACAATTCCTCTTGACAACAGTCATACTTGTTAGTATTCTTTGAAAGTACAGAAAATGACCAAAAGCTACTAATCACTCATTACTGCTTTTAAATGTACTCACAAATTTTTAATCACATTATCACCTACTTGCATTTACTTGCAAGTACTTGCAATAAGCAGTGCTTACGCTCAAAATTTAGATTCCTGATATGCTAGGCATCCCAGATCCATAAACTGAAATTGCCACATACTTCCTGCTTTAACTGCCTATCAGGCAAAGCAAAAAAGAAAATCAGGGCAGTTTCTACAACTCTAAATGGTCAAGCAAAAGGAAACAAACAAATCTGGTCAAGTTTAATTTTTCACTTCACAAGCCAGGGGAGAGTTTATCTAGTAAAAAACTGCCAGTTGCTTTACTATTTTCAGATACAATACCTGAATTTAGTACAATGGTACAGAGATAAATTTCCTAAAATTGTTTTGAAAAATCATTTTTTAAAAATCTGGCAATCTGCCTACAATTTCTGTTCCTGACACAAAGCTTGTTTCCTCCCACTTTTAGCCACACACACAAAAAATGACTAGACTGGAAAAAAAATCATTAATCTGTTAATAAAGTAACAGAAACATGGTTACAAAATCAGATATAGCAATTTTCATAAAGATGACAAAATGAGAAAAAGAAAGATATCTTTAAAATCTCAGCAGAAGCACTCAATTAGTATACAGAGGAAGCTAATTAAACAGACTGAAGCAAGTAAGTTTTAATGGAGAGGTCTGAAGAGGAAATGACTCATTTGGAGGTAAAGACAGGGAACCCTGGCAGTTTGATTTTTGCTGACAAGTATTTAAATACTAGTTAAATAATTTTCTAACATAACAAAGACTCTTGCCAAATGTTACAGATAAACCAAGAATAAAGGGCAATTACCACAATTTAAAATAAAAGATATTAATATTACTTAGGCTTAGGAACTGTAATCTGTGGTGACTATTGACTTACATAATAAAGACAACATCCTACTTTAAAATATGAAACTTGAATTAGCCATTGAAAAGGCCATTTAAGTTACAAATAATTTTGTTTATTATAAATCTGTAGAGTATTGATCACTTATTTCCTAAGTTAGAGTTTTATTTTTTCTATGATGTATCAACTTTAAAGTCTGGAAGTCTGCCCTCTACAATTTTAGGATTTTGTGAGCATATAGGTTTTGGGTCCCTGCTGGGATTTTAGGTTTTCTCTAAGACAAAAATGAGGCAGGGTTTCTACTACTTCCATTTCTACATCATAGATTTACCCCCAGGGAACCTCAGTGAATGCTGACCGGCAGAGAAAAGTTTTAGTAGGTTTTCTTCCTAATACAATTCTTTTCTGGAAAAGATTAACTCAATTTTAAACATACATTTGGTTAATCTCCACCCCAAAGTGTGAGGTCCGGCAACAAATGGATTTTGTATTTAAAGGCATTTAAAGGGACTATTATAGATAATACAGTTCCTGTAAATTTTTCCATAATGGAACCAGTAGTAACTCTCAGTCTATTAATCTCAGAAGACCAAGGTCAGCTCTACCTTAACCTCTATGCACCAAAGTAAAAAACAAATTAAACTCCTAATCTCACATCACATGGATAATATTTACCGATTACCTAGTCAGAAAAGACCTATTATAAGGAATGTTAAAAAAGCCCCAGAAAGCTATACACTGAGGCTTTTAATTTTAGTTGTCTTTATCATGAGGAGTATTCATTCATGATTCAACTAGAAATCCCCAAATCACTTGTCTGCAAAATTAAAATTTGTAATTATTTGAAACACACTCAAAGACCACCATAAAAAAGTGTTACATAATTAGACAATTCCAGTAAAAGGTAGTGGGGGAAAATGCAATTAAATCTGGGTTAAATAAAAGCAATCTTTCAGAAATAAGTTGTCAAGCCAGTTTCTTGTTTTTCTCTTATTGGGACTGGAAAGCCTACCAGAAATAGAATCAGCAAGTGACACTATCCCCACATACAGGTATCAAGTCAATGAATTCACACACAGGTGCCTAAAGGGTCAAGCACAACAATGAATCATATCCTATTGCAAATTACTTTAATTAGATAAGAGATTCCTTCCAATATCTAATGAGATCATGGAGTGGGCAGGGGAAGTGGGGTATATTGACAGCATTTTTAGAAAGGGTAAAATGCAATAGTATGCAGTTCTCAACAGCCGGAGGGCAGAATACAGATACTGAACTTGAGGGAAGAGACTTGGTCAAGAGGGTGATGAGCAGGTGAAAGATCTGTATAAAGAAAGCAAAGTATGAGGGCCAGCCGAGTGGCTCAGTTGGTTAAGAGCTCACTCAAGAGTGTGAGCTCTGAGCAACAGGGTCTCCAGTTTGATTCCCAGCCCAAGCTGAGCTGCCAACAGGTGGCAGGATGGCTCAGCTAAAAAAAAGAAAAAAGGAAGTATGATTAAAGGAAACCTTTTCCTACTTTGAAATTCTAGTTGGGCCACTTGAGGGGTACTTTGCCACAAAAAGTCACCTCATTGGCTGGACAAGATTAGCACCCGAATTGTCTGATCAGATCCTTAAAAGGCTCTACTCACCTATATTGTGACAGATAGGATAAAGGCCAACATCTTTAATAACTGAATGATCTCTAAACACTCTGCTCTAGTCATACTTCTATGTACCCACTTGTCCTTTTCAAGTGTCTGTGCCTTTAAAGCAGTTCATTCTGCCTGGTTCTTTGTCCCCTTCTCAAATGCATTAACTTTACTTATCCTTGAAGATTTAAAAGAAATGTCTTTCCAGAAAATTATTGGTTCTCCTAAAACTCTATACAGTCTGAGGTTACAATACCATATAGTCACTATCATTGTAACGAGTATAAGTCAACCTTTCTTCACGTTTAGGTTTTCCAAAGTTGGTCTTGATGTAGAGAAGCTGGCTAGCAAACAACATGACTAAAAGGCTATGCCATTGGCATTAGCAAGTATGAAAAGAATCCGGGTTACTAAGCATGTTGAAAAACTAAAAACACCTAGGAAGGGAACACAATAATCAAACAACATACAGCAGAGTAGAGAAGGTAGCTCCTGTTCTTTTATTCTTACTAGAGAACAAGAAATGGATTATACACAAAAGTGGGGTTTCTGGAAAGATTTCTTTCTACATAAAGGCAAGAAAGTGGAGTTGACAACTAAAGGAATCTGTGAACCCTATTATAATAATTCCCTCACAGTTGTTTTGAGAACTACATAAAAACCCGTGTAAAGAAATCTAGTAGAATGCCTGGCTCACATGAGTTATTGTTTTCTCTAAGCATTCTTTAAAGGCTGTCAGAAAACTTTTTGGGCCACCTAGGAAACCGTGGCATGATCAAATAATGGTGCAATTCTTTCCCTTCGAAGAAGCCATGTATAATTATAGTTTCCACATCATTCTCCCCATTGCAATGTCTAAATAAAAACACATTGCCTTAATCCGCCTACTAATCGGTGGGTTAGTAGGAAAGACTGGGAAAAGCCACATTTTTTCCAAACGAATGTAGTACTTAATAAGTACTTTAAACAGCACTTTAAAGTTATCCAAACTTTGCGGGGGAGGCAGGTTCAAATGTGGCGACCTTACTTTCCAAATACACGCTGGGGCACACGTTCTGGAAAGTACCGGTATTTAGGAAAAACGAGAGCCTGACCAAGAAAAGACGACTTTAGCGGCCGAAAGTAAAGAAATATCCAACTCAAGCCGAAGGCGGCGGAGCCAGGAATTGCATAGGAGAGGGAAGTTTCAAGCGTTAGGTTGGAGTCTGAAACAGGTATCTAGCTGACATAATGAAACCTCACAGGAAGAGAGGTCCAGAAAAGCAGACGCGGGACTTCTACACCAAAAAAAAGGAAAAGGTATGGGAGGCGAGCCACGAGACCACCCGCGCAAGCCTCATACCTGTGCTTCCCGCTTCCCTTCTCAGCGCCGCGTGATGACCTCACCCACCGGCGCCCAATCCCATGTAGCGTAAGGCGCGAGGCGCCTCAGCCAAACAGTCACATCCGGGGCTGAGAGGAACCGCGGGCGAGCTGGGCGTGCGCCCTTGCTTCGTGCCCTCAACCTGCATGGCGGAGCCACGGGCGCGCCACGGGGAGGCCGTGCGAGTCGGGCGGTTCCGGCGCCCGCGCTGAGTCGCGGGGGAGGGGCGGGGGACGCCCGTGCGGCGGGTGCCTCTGCCCTCAGTGAGGCGGGGCGCGCGGCGGACGCCCCCGGGCAGGGGCGGGAGTGGTGGAGGAGCTGGGCGGTTGGCTGTGAGAGGGGCGGTGAACGAGGTGCTCCCGTCTCTAGGCGAGGCTGCTTGGCCTCCCCAGCAGAGACGGGGAGAAGCGGCAGCAGCGGCGGTGGCCCTTGGGCCGGCTGGTGAGGTGATGGCGGCCCCGGCCCCGGGGGCTGGAGCAGCCTCGGGCGGCGCTGGCTGTGGCGGCGGCGGCGCGGGCGCGGGCTCGGGGGCCGGGGGCCGGCTGCCCAGCCGGGTGTTGGAGTTGGTGTTCTCTTACCTGGAGCTGTCCGAGCTGCGGAGCTGCGCCCTGGTGTGCAAGCACTGGTACCGCTGCCTGCACGGCGATGAGAACAGCGAGGTGTGGCGGAGCCTGTGCGCCCGCAGCCTCGCAGAAGAGGCTCTGCGCACGGACATCCTCTGCAACCTGCCCAGCTACAAGGCCAAGGTGAGGGATCCCCGGGCCACGCCGCTGCCCCCAGTCCCGCTCCTGCGCACGGCCCTCAGTGCTTCTCTAAGCTTCTGAGTCAGACGCCTCGCTTCACCATCCCGCCTTTCCACCGCACTTGTCAATACCTTATCTCACTTCCCCCCTCCACAAAGAGCCTCTTCTCTTTGGATTGAAGTTATGCGCCTTAACCCACCGCACTTCCGTGATATACTTTTTGAAGAACCAGATGGTTACCCATCCCAGGTTTCCATCACTCATTCTACTTTCCACACTCTTTCCCTTTAAAGACATACCGCCCCCATTGTTTGTTGTACCTTCAGTACTCTCATCTTATTTTTCTCCCTGGCCTTCAAATAGGCTTTAATAGATCTTCCTGCTGCCTTATCATCGGTTTAGTTCTAAGATCTTCGCTTTCATCCTACATTCACCTCACATTTTCCAACCTCTGATTTACAACCATTTTTTTTCTTTATTTTCACCCAAGTTCTCTTTTAATTCCTTCCACAATGTTTTAGGCTTATAAATGAGTGTGGTCCTAGACATTCTGCTAACTTTCAAGATATAGGCTTTAATAGACCAAACTCCCATTGGCATCGCTTAACCATCATAATACTGCCTTGTCTCACTATTATTGGCTACTTCCTTGCCAACTTTTTCCTAGTTCCAACTTAATGGTGTGTCTCTACTGTACTATTGGTCATAGAATTCCAGTTTTGCTGCCGTTTTTTCTTCTAAATTCTTGTGCACATTCCTACCTTCTTCGTATGCAAATAAAAATGTCAAGTAACAGGTATGGTACAGCTGAAAGGATTCTTTAGGCAATACAAAAAAAAAAGGCCTCGAGCTTGAGTTCATTTGGATGGATAACAGCTATTCAGTATAGCAGTCATCAAGAGCTATATGAGAGGATAAAGTCTCACTTAGACTGTGATAGAATGTGGTAACCATAAAAAAATACATTAATAACTAAAATGGGAAAATATTCCTTTTTAATGCTAGACTGCCAATGAGAGTCAGAGTAAGAAGTAAACTTTTTTCCATGTGAAATAGCTGTAAAATTTATTCTTCTGTAATAAAACAGGTTTTAGTTTAATAAGATAAGGAATATTGCTGTTAAATATGATCTAGCAAGTTGTTTTCCTACTAAGTGAAATAACGTTAATTTACTATGACAATATTTGTACATGGTAGATGCTCAGTGGATACTAGTTGTAATTTATATAGTAGAGTGCAAAGATTGCAATTTTGTCCTATTTTTGTGTGATAAACGTGTAGGCTTCATAAGTTTTATTTAGTTTTTATTTCTCCATAAAGTTTATTTTTATTTTAAATTAAGACATTTTGGTAATTGTGCTGTAATAAATAGGTTCACCTGATTCAATATTCATATAATAGTATGTAATGGATAATGTGTTCATGTGAGTCAACATTCAAAGGAAGCAAAATGTCTTTATCCCCCAGCCACCCAGTTTCCCTTCTTGGAGGCAACCTGTGTTACCTATTTCTTTTGTATCCTTCTCTAGATAGTTTAGGTTTCTTAAGTTTCTAATACTTCGTATGTCTTTCTACTACAAGCACTATAAGTATTGTAGACTTGTACTCGTATGTTCATTCAGATGTTGGAGGACTTTTCTTGAATATCTCGAGGATAAAGAGATTAATTCAAAAGAAATCAGAAGTCTAGTAAGTACTCAGTCTAATAGAAGAGGAAAAAATGTACAGAAATAACTAACACCTGGTAGAAATTGCTCCTGTTAGAGATATAAAAAGAAATAATATACTAGAAGTTAAGTGAAAGGAGAGATTTATGAGTTGAGAGGAGGATTGGAGGAGGTTTGAGGTCGAGATTGTATCTGACTTGAATTTTAAAGATTGGGAGGATTTGGGGCCGGCCAAGTGGTGCGTTGATTAGAAGTTGGCTTGGGATGCCAGCTCTGAGTAGCAGGGCCCCGGTTTGGATCCCACATGAGAGCCAGTGATGCTGCGCCCTCTACAGCTAAAATGGTGAACAACAGCTCAACCTGGAGCTGAGCTGCTGTGAGTCACCGGCGATGGCGTAGGCTGCAGCCCTTGCTGCAGTGGGCTGCCGTGAGCTACCTTGAGTGGCTGGCAGCCAGCGTGAGCTGCCATGAGCCGCCATGAGTGGCCGTCCAGTGGCCAGTGAGTGACTGCCTCACCCGGGAAGAGTGCAATGATAATACCAACATGGGCCAGTGAAGCGATGTCCTCCACAACTAGACTGAAGAACAAAAGGACAGCAACTTGTCTGTTCCCCTTCTCCAATTCCCCAATGCTGTTCCCCTCCCCCAATTCCCCAATAAAATCTGGGGGGGGGAAAAAAGATAGGGAGGATTTGAACATTTTACTAAGAGGAAATACCCTGAACAAAAGCAGTACAAAAGGAAAGCAAAGGCTTTGTACAGCATATACTGTATTTTTATTTTAAAAAACATGAATGCCAGGCACTATGCTCAGTTTTGTAGATGGAATGAATAAAAACAAAACACAGGGCCGGCTGAGTGGCGCGAAGGTTAGGGGCTGGCTTGGGATGCCAGAGGGCCCCGGTTCGGATCCCACATGTGAGGGCCAGTGACACTGCCCTCTTAAAAAAAAAACCAAAACAAACTCTTATGGATGCCTTGCCTTCCAACCCGGTGGAGGGTGGGGGTGGAATGGATATTAATAAAATAATCACACATTGTAAAATCCCATCTGTGGTAAGTACTGTGAAGGAGAGATACATGGTGCTCTGAGTGTCAGTAATAGAGGATTTGACCTAGGTGTGGAGGTTAGGGAAGGCCTTTTCTGAACAAATAATGCATGAACTGAGACCTGAAGGATAAGGATAAATAGGCCAAGGAGTGAGAGAAGAACCTTCCAGAAGAAATCTGATGAGTATGAGGGACAGAAAATACATCAGTGTAACTGGAACATAGAGAGCAAAGGTGAGGTGGGTTGAGATATGATGGAAGAGGTGGACTGGGACTAAATTATAGTCAAGCCATTTTGAACTAAGCAAGGGGAGTTAGGAGTGTCGGGATTGGTGATACGATTATTTTGCATTTTTAAGAGTTTATTTCTAACTTCAGTATGGGGAGCAGGTTGGAGGGGAACCTTAGAAATATGGATAGATCAATTAGGAACTAGGTAGTGGAGCAAATGGGGAAAGATTTAGTAGGAGAGATTTAGGAAAATCTACAGGATTTAGCAATAGATTTGAATTAGGGGTGAGGAAGAGGGAGGTGCTAAGGATGATTCCTAGGTATTTGGCTTACATAATACAGGAGTGACCTGCGCTGGATTTAGGAGGAATGAATTTACTTTTGTTAGAGTAGAATTTAAGTGTTTTTGAGATATCCAAGAGATTTCAGATAGGCATCTCTTCCGGTTTAGAGGTTAGAGGAGAGGCTAAAGATATAGTTTAATTAGTTCAAATTAAAGTTGTGGGAAATATGATTGTAAAGGTAAGCTGAAACTAGATAAATCATGAAGGTCCTTGAAATACAGCTTTTAATCTATAGTTTGGGCTTTGTTCTACAATTGGAAACCACAGGATTTGAATAGAGGAGTGACAATAAGCTGTGTTTTAGAAACACTAGGCCATAAGATGAATTGGAGCAGGCAGGGGTTAGTGACTACCAGAGGTACTTAAGACACTGTATAAAACAAATGTATGAACAAGTGTATAGAGGAGAGAAGGAGGTGGTTGGGAGAGCTATTAAAGAGAACAAATCCTCATAGGGGACAGCTAGCTTATCGGGTGAGTGAGATGAGGAAGAATGAAGAATCATAGGATTTCCAGGGATCCTGGGTAACCAAGAGAAAAATGGGAACAGCCTTGGGATAGCATTAAACTGGAAAGAATTTGGAATTTTCAATCTATTTAAGATTTGTCTTTTTAAAAGTTTATGTTACTGGGCCGGCCGAGTGGCGCGATGGTTAAGAACTTGCTTGGGATGCCAGAGGGCCCCGGTTCGGATCCCACATATGAGGGCCAGTGACACTGCCCTCCACAGCTAAGATGCTGAACAACAGCTCAACCTGGAGCTGGGCTGCCATGAGTCGCCGGCGACGGCTTAGGCTGCAGTCCCTGTGGCAGTGGGTTGCCATGGGCTACCGTATGTAGCTAGCAGCCAGCGTGAGCGGCCAGCAGCCGCAGTGAGCGGCCGTCCAGAAGCCGGCGACTGATCTGCCTCTCCCGGGAAGAGCACAATGATGGTGCCAACTTGGGCCAGTGAAGCAACATCTTCCACAACTAGATTGAAGAACAAAACGACAGCAACTTGTCTGTTCCCCTTCCCCCAATTCCCCAATAAAAATCTTTAAAAAAAAAAAAAGTACATGTTACTAAATAGCATCAATTATTTCAGTCATACTTAGC